GGGCGGGCGGAGCCCCCCGGGAGCGACGGGACAGCGGCCAGGACCGGGCACCCTCCAGCCGAGCGGTGGTCAATGGCGTGAACCAAGGGCCAGACAGCTTCATAAACAGAAATTTGATCCTTATCTGTAGAATGGAATTGCCATGACAAAATTGCATGCTTGCTATTTAATTATTGCCCATCATATCACCATTAAGGAACAGGGAACTTGAAGAGACAAGAATTTAGCAACTTATTCCAGAGTATAAGATATCACAGATCGAGGATACAAATAGGGTTGGCAAGTTTTTAACTGCTCTTTGTTGCACGGTGGAAGCCCTTCTTTGTTCTGCAACTTTTATGGGATAACAGTGTTTTCTGATTTTTTTTTTCATTTTGGCATATCAAGTCACATCTACAGGAGTTAGTGGAAAAGTTGGCAATGCTTGTCACCAGGTGGGCATTTTTTAAAATTATGTCTGTGATTTCACAGCATCCTGACATGCGGATATGTATCAGATGCTTTCCCTGTTGCTTTTCCCTCTCTGCCAGAAAAAGCTCCACTTGCTGAATTAATTTTAGAAAGTTCCACCTACTAAATGCACTTACTAAATAACATAAATGCACAGAAGAAAGTTGATAAAAGGTTGGCCTCCTAAGTAGGGCCCTTGTTAATAGTTCTTTTTAAGGTTAGTTATGTTAACATTTGTAATTTGAAGAGTATAAGGAAATGCTCAAACGTATGTGATTTTGTTATTTTTGTGCACAGAACTTCATCATATTTCTCAGTCTCAGAAATATAACTTTAGCATGATTGCATAACATATGCAGCCCTCCTGGTGTAACTGAACCACAGCTCCTGAAAATTCCATCCAGCATGGCTAATAATGAAGGATGCTGGGAATTATAGTTCATCAACATCTGGAGGGCAACATTGTGCATTCATGTAACACAATTAAATATGTTAGGTTCATGTCCCTGAAGCTGTGGCATTCTGTTCTGTGCAGAGACATGTCCTAAATCCATTAACCTTCAGTGGCAATACTGGATAGGCTGTTAGATTCTCTTGCAACATTTCAGAACTGTAAGCTTCTTTTCTCATAACACTTCATAGCATTTATAATTAAGCCACTGGGGAAGCTCCTAGCATGCCCCTAGAGTGAATTCTCCTCTACTTCTTCCCTGATCTACATGCTGGAAATCTTTGCAGCAATTGTTTACAAAGCCTCTGTATTTGCTTTTTGCTCTATGATTCAGGCCGCTCTGCTGTGTAACTCCAACAAGGTGTTTAAAAACTCAGCCATGGTAGTATGTAATGCTATCTTCTCCTCCAGAGCTCTTGCTTTCAGACTGCAGAGATGGCGAGACGGCGGAAGCATCGTTTCTCAGCAAACTCCCCAAATATAGTGGCCAACATCACACTGTGCTTGAAGCAAAGAACAACAGTGGTAATTAATCTACAGGGAAAACTGGGATGGGCTGATGTAAGAGAAAGCAGGAAGGTCCTTGTATCTGTTCATGATCTCAAGGACATTGTAAAGTTGCCAGTTTGCATTCACCAGGGTACCATTAGAACATTACTCTGGGCACAGAGTCGTGTCCCCGTTTGGCTATATGAGCAACATGGCCCCACCAATAAACTTTGCTATCTAAAAAGTGCCAGTATCAAATTATTGCTATATATCTGGGCTCTAAAATTACTTAACTGTATATGGATTGCAACTAAAGCTTTAGTATATTTAAAATGCTGGTGTGGGGATGCTATGCCAAAAATTAGATCTAAGGGCTGGTCCATTTAATAGCTGTAAGGCAGATTTTAAATGAGACATCACTTTTACTTGCTGGTAATTGAC